ATTACCGTGTATCATTGTTTGATGGAATTTCAGAGTGCTATTACCGCTAATCATTGTTTGATGGGAATTCAGGGTGCTATTAAACTTAGTGTTGTGCGTGCGGACAGATTGGGTAGCATGCCTGACTATCTGTTGCAGTGTTTTTTATGAGCTATGTATACAAAGTCCTAGCTATCTTTGAGGCTGGGCTGTTTGTGCATGTTTCAGAATTTTTATCATGATGGTTTAGAAGATATGTATTTTCCGAATTACCTGTCCTAAAAGGCTGGCATATTTCATAGTCAAAGTTGAGCTTAGCTCTTGGCCATCTTAATGAGGTTTTCTCAAGATGAAAACATCTATAGGATTGCATAGGATGAAATATCTAGGCATCTTATGCACATATTGTGTTGTCTGACATGAACTGAAACTAGACCAATTTAATTACAAGACAAAAAAGACGGCATCTTCGCTAATGTTGTAGCTCATTTATGAAGTTTTAGATAAATGGATTTATTGGACACGCTAATCTGTAAAAAAATTTAAACAATACAACGGTTGAGGTTTGTCGATTTTATTAAGATAGATAAAAAAACATAGTGACCCAATTTATAAGCGAAACTAGACCAAAAACCACAAAGCCTGGTAAAAAAGAGCAAGAAAAATCAAAGAGAAAAGAAAAGCACAATAGAGCTTGGGGATAGGGGATTAAAGGAAACACACACGACCTCAACGAACATCATCTGTTGATTCTGTAGATTAAAAGATACAAAATAATATTTTAAAAAACTTATAGCAAACCAAAGAAACCAAACAATCACATTTTTTTAACACATCCATCAAACTGAAGATTTGAAATAACCCATATGTATTCATGGCAAAGATACGAGCACCATGTTGACCGGTGGCACAAACTTCGAAGGAGGGAGCGGTGCACACTTTGAAAGAGCGGGGGATGCACAGTCGGGGAGGACCAAGTGAAGCCAACGACATTTGATAGATCGCCATGATTTCCTATTGGTAGAACTTCGGTTTTGGATGACGATCATTCATGCGTATGAAACATATGCTATCTTTAAATGTGAAATTATATATTTGAAATGTATAGAAGTGTGTAAAGTGGAATGAAACGTTTGGTCCATGTTTTTGTGAAATTTAACATCAACTAAAGTGTATATGTGCGCGCGCACACACACAGGAGGAATAGAAGAGAGACAGTTATAAATGTTGTAGTTTTTAGGGAAACTCACTTTGCTGAGCATGCATCATTTTATGAGTCTACTAGAGCTGCTCTACATGTAAAGGACAATGTAACCCGTTTTAAAGGTTGTCTTTTTAGGAATCTACTAGAGTTGCTCTAAATGTCAGACGCCACACGTGCCGGCCATACGTCCACGGCCGAGCACTTGTTGGTCTCCTCCAAGTCTCGCATGTGTCTGCTTCTCTTTGCTTGCATACTACTCCTCATCTTTCTCCCCCTAGCTTGCTCAAACAGACTAGAGAGCGAAGCATCTCTCCGGAGAGGCGATGTCTTCCATTTTTCTCTCCCAATTGGCCCAACTACTACTGTCTCCATGTTATCTATTTTTCTCTTCACGAAGAACATGCGCACATGTTGGGGTGCTACGCCAATTTTCCTCTTCTCCTACCGTCCAAGTTTATAAGGGAAGGGATGTATACCAAGGGCTCATGGCTCCGGCAAGCATTGGTGGCTGCAGAGATAACATATGAGGAGTGGGTAGAAGGATGAGGCATCGTGTTCGGAAGCGCAAGGCATCCATGGTCTACACGGCGAGAGAGTAATGAGACATGAAGAAAGAAACCTCGACATGTGGTTGGATCTTGAGTTTGTAGCACCATCGAGCTATGGGGAGATGATGGGACTACGGAGAATTGGTTCATGTCAGTTGAATCAACTCCTCATGGGTCTTTGGCGAGTCAGATTCGTTGTCATCGAGCCTGAATCGATAAAGATTGCTTTTCTCAAATAGTGAAGTTTTTATGTTGCCTTGAGTATTTGAACATGTTGCAAGGATTTGGGGTGTTTGTTGTCTAAAGATGAGACATGTTGCATTGATTCTTTTTTTTAGAGAAAAGGCTTATAGCTCAGACTTTATACATAAAGCTGCACATGGCAGAGTCATCCACAAGACACATTAAGGCATCAGGTAACAAAAGCCCAAAGTCAAAATGATAGACTAGCAATAACACTGAAAAAAGCTAAATGGAGATATGGTCTGTATGGAAGCCTTCAAGACCGAGAAACAATAGCTAAGATGGATCAGAAGGGAGGAGGTTGTTGGCAGTGGAGTGAATCTTGGCGATCACCAAGGTAATTCCATCAGCGTCCTTGGCTTTAACAAGCGGTTTTGACTACTATAAAAAGGCCACCATTTTAAACAAACACTCAAATGGATGGTTAGGGTAACATGTTCAATGTTAAATTTGTTATGGGTAGTCCAAAGTGACCCAGATTGTGTGGCAAATACCATTCATAAGACAAGATAAATTATTCAAGAGACATTAGCAAGAAGAGGAAAAAGCTGAGAAAAATTATATAGGGTTCCATCGCGCATTCAGCCACGATTGAACACTACTCCAAAAGAATGTTGCCAAGACACATCTAAGTAGAATATGCCCCATGTCTTCATTCTCTCCCCAAAGAGAACATGCCACACCCGACGTGCCATTACATTTCAAAATATGATCACTCAAGAGGGCTTGCCACATTTTTTTGATCTTAGGTGTTATATGAGCCAACCAAACCCCTAAAAGTTTACGAGTATGCCTGCTCTGGACAAGTCTTGAGATATAGAGCTTTAATGCAAAATTTATGAGAGGATGAGTGGGGCCAAAGTATACGGTCATTTTCGGCAGAGGAAGAAGGAAAAAGGGTAGTAAGGGATTACCACTTAACTAATTCCTTCGGTGAAAGCGAGCAGCGGAAAGCAAGGTCCTAGTTATTTGCAGAAAGCTCATAAATGGTAATCTTTGGATTCACATAAGGTCAGGGTAGAGCATGTTAAGGGGGCCATCCCCATGCCACGAGTCTAGTTGGAACCGAGTGGCGACACCATTGCCGACACAAAATTTGATGTGGGATCTAAATTTGTCTCTAACCTTAACAATTGCTTTGCAAAAATCATGAGCCCCCTCTAGAGTTAGCATTGAGGTATTTAGTCCTAAGGATTTTTGGGCTTGCACATGTGCTTCGACTTAACCAACCTATACTTCTTTCTCTTATCATCAGAATTTCTATTGGAAGCACTACGGTGGTTGTCAAATCCCGCATGATTGCCCTCCAGGAGAGATAAAAGCCCATGGTGAACATGTGCAAAAGCTCGGAGGGCAAGCACTGATTAATACAGCTTTACCCCCGAGGTTAGCCATTCTTAATCAAAATGATAGTGACGTCGGCCATCTCAACATCCAACTTATAGTTAAACATAAGGGGAAGATGAGGTCACCTTGCCGGAGGCCCCTATCATTCGCAAAATAAGGCCTCATGACACTGTTAATCCAAATAGTGGTGTGCCCGCCACAAATTATATTAGTTGCATAATCCAATGAGCATGCCCTGAGTTAACGCCTTTGATGGAGATTTTGGACATCGATGTTGTATGGATTGAATATATGTGGCATATGTGTTTTTTGTCGTTTGTCTATGTTGTTCCATATGTTTTTTCTTTTTGAAATCATGTTGTTTCATATGTTGGTTTCCTTTGATGGTGGATGTGGATCTGTTGCATAGCCATAATTATCGTGGGGCTGCGGCGTGGCGACGAGTGACGACCGCCGCACGGCAGCACGTCGTCGTCGTCGTCCGCGTCCACCCACCTGCTCCGGAAGCCGAAGCTGCCGCAGCCCCTTTGAAAAGGAATTTTATAAGAAAGAAGGAAAGAAAGCAGCCGCGCGCGCGCAGCACCCTGGTCAACGACCATCATCCCGCTCGCCGTTTATATACCGCCGGCATCCACCATGATCCAGCACCTCCCCCTCTTCTCATCCTCGCCAGAAAGACAAGCTCTAGAAGTAGCGCCAAGACCAGACCTCTCCTCTTCCTGCTACTCCTAATTGCGATTCTTGTTGTGACGGCCGTCTTCTTGTTCCCACCAGCGACCATGTCTTCTTCATCGTCGTTCGAGAATCCGAGGAAGGTGGTGAAGAAGGTGATGTCGCTATCCCAGGCCGAGGGGGACGGCGCCACCGTCCGCCGGAGCATCGGCGGGTAAGACACCAATCGCGATGAATTCTGAATTTCTCATTATGGGAAGCCGTCCTTGACCTCAGTCTGTCTCTTCTTTATGCTGCTGCTGCAGGCACGAGGTCCGGAACCTGGACCCGTTCCTCCTGCTCGACGAGTTCTCCGTCTCCAAGCCCGGCGGATTCCCTGACCACCCGCACCGGGGCTTCGAGACCGTAACCTACATGCTCCACGTAAGCACCGATGCTCCGCTTCTTCCATCTTTTTCTCCTCCATCGTGTTGCCTGCAAGGTGTTTGCTGAAATGCTTGCTTCTGTTTTGTGTTTCTGACGATGCAGGGAGCATTTACCCACCAGGACTTCTCGGGGCGCAAGGGCACCATCAGGACCGGAGATGTGCAGGTCTGACCTACTCATCCAATTTCTTCACACAAACCGACGCATGCACTTGGCCCATTCATTCTATCTTTGACTTGAACTAACATTTGCGATCCGAATGCTCGGTTCCTGACCAGTGGATGACGGCTGGCCGCGGCATCGTGCACTCGGAGATGCCGGCTTCCGACGGCGTGCAGAAGGGCCTGCAGCTCTGGATCAACCTCGCCTCCAAGGACAAGATGTATGTATCATATCAACGACTGTTTGTATGTGAAATCTACTATCTAAAAAAAGATCATATGAATAATAGGAAATCAACTTCTTTGCATTACAATGACCAATCACTTGACACTAATTGCTCGAACGATGCTAGGATCGAGCCTCGGTACCAGGAGCTCAAGAGCAAGGACATTAGCCAGGCTGAGAAGCATGGTGTGAAGGTGCGGATCATCGCCGGGGAGGCCTTCGGGGTGCGGTCGCCAGTCTACACGCGGACGCCGACCATGTACATGGACTTCACAATGCAACCAGGGTCACAGCTTCACCAACCGATCCTCGAGGGCTGGAACGCTTTCGTGTACATCATCGAGGGGGAGGGTGTATTTGGTAGGGAGGGCGATGTGCCGGCGAGCGCGCACCATTGCCTCGTGCTTGGCGCCGGCAACGGGCTCAGCGTGTGGAACCGGTCCGGCGCGCAGCTGCGGTTTGCGCTGGCGGCAGGGCAGCCGTTGAACGAGCCAGTGGTGCAGCAGGGGCTCTTCGTCATGAACTCTCGTGCCCAGATCCAGCAGGCCATGCAGGACTATTACTACGGACGCAACGGCTTCGAGAAGGCCAGCCAGTGGAGCTCCGCCTGATTCTCATTAGTGTCTCGACGTGATGATGATCAACGTCATTGTGCATTGTCGTGCAAATGATCAGGGAGGAATGGGAAATTGCATTTTACCATTACATTGATGCCTTTGTGTAGAGTGCCGTAGTAGTCTTGTTTTTCTTCGATTTGTTCTTTTTTACTTCTTCATAGGAAAGAATGTGATACAATAAAAGTGTGTAATGAGGAAGAAGTTAGTAATGATTGTTTGGTTTGTTTCATCATAGATTTGGGCAAGCAGAGCAAGGATAAATAGTTGATGCTCCATGGTCAAGCATTTCAGATTTGAACAGGTGAAAATAATTTAAATAACTATGAGCCACCAACATGAGGCTGCCGAAGCATTATCAGTGTATTGCCTCTCGATGATGTTATTCTCTCATGATGCAGTGAGGATCATGACAATGAAGCAGGCCGAGCAGAACAAGACCCTCAGGATGAGGTTGCCGACCTCTGAAGTCTGAACTGGAAAGCAGTATTACGCATGAAAACTATGACTCCTAACCATGAACAAGAGGCTGGCTGTGAGCCTGATCCTGTGGGAAGATCAAGTTCGCGGATGCTTGTGTGCATATGCTAGGTGGGGGCGGCAGAAGGACATGATGTTGTTCTATTCGAATGTATAGTGTAGTGATGAAATTGTAGATGCAGATGATTACAAAGGATCTGTGTACAATGTATGGGTCTGTTACAATAATGCTGAAATTTAATTGTTTTTGTCAGCTGAAATTTAATTGTTGCCACCAGATTTTATTATCTCTGGATTTCTACCAGATTACATGATCTTGTGAAACAATGTACAGAGTTATTACAGATGTTTGATAGCAATTCAGAGTGCTATTGTCCTGTATCATTGTTTGACGGAAATCCAGAGAACTATTATCGTGTATCATTATTTGATAGCAACGCGGAGTGCTATTAAACATAGTGTTGTGCGCGCAGACATATTGGGTAGCATGTCTGTTGCAGTGGTTTTGATGAGCTATATCATGAACCACAAAACCACATAAATTTTTGAATGCTGGTTTAGAAGATATGTATTTTCCAAATTACTTATCCTAAAAGACTGACATATTTCATAGTCAGAGTTGAGCTTAGCTCTTGGCCATCTTAATGAGCTTTTCTCAAGATAAAAACATATATAGGATTGTATAGGATGAAATATCTAAGGCATCTTATGCATATGTTGTCTTGTCTGACTTGAACTGAAGTTAGACCAATTTAATTACAAGACAAAAAAGACAGTATCTTGGCTAAAGTTGTAGCTCATCTCTGAAGTTATAAATTTTTTGGGTTTATTGGACATGTTGACTCTGTAGATATTTTTTTAACAGAGCAAGGGTTGAGGTTTGTCAATTTCTTTAAGATAGAAAAGACATAGTGACCGGGTTTATAAGGAAACTAGACCAAAAACCACAAAGCATGGTAAAAAAGACCAAGAAAAAAATCAAAGAGAAGAAAAAAGCAAAAAACAAAAAAAAAGACACTAGAGCTTGAGGACAGGAGAATAGAGGATAAACACACGACCTCAAGGAACGTAATATGTTGATTCTGTAGATTAAAAGATACAGAAAAATGTAGATGAAAAACGTATAGCAAACCAGAGAAACCAAACAATCATATTTGTTTTAACACATCCATCAAATTGAAGATTTTGAATAACCCATATGTATTAACAGCAAAGACACGAGCACCATGTTGACCGGTGGCACAAACTTCGGAGGAGGGAGCGGTGCACACTTTGAAGGAGGGAGATGCATAGTTGGGGAGGACCAAGTGAAGCCAACGATATTTGATAGATTGTGCATGACTTGCTTTTGGTAGAACTTTGGTTTTGGATCACGGTCGTTCATGCGTATGAAACCTATGCTATGTTTAAATTGTATTTAAAATATAAAATTATAGATTTGAAATGTATTGAAGTGTGTAAAGTTGATGTGAAATGTTTGGTCCATATTTATGTGAAATTTAACATCAATTAGAGTGTATTTTTTGCAAATGCAATTAAAGTGTATATGCATGCGCGAGTGCACACACAGGAGGAATAATAGAAGAGAGACAATTATAAATGTTCTAGTTTTTAGGGAAACTCACTTTGCACACTAGCTTTAGAGCCTTAAAAATGTAAAGGGCAATGTAGTGAAAATCCTTTTCTGAGTCCGGGCTCATCTGCACCCGTGTTGAATAAAAAAATTCAAAACAAATACTAGAAAAATTCAAATAATTCCAATTTGTTTTCCCATGGTAGACAATTTGGTGTGTGAGGTTTGACCCAATTTTCATATGATTTGGACAACTGAGCAACTCTCGGCAAAAAAGACAAATTCAGGGTCTGTAAAACAGTTAATGTTCATGTACTGTTTTGACCCGATTTATCTTTTTTGCTGAGAGTTACTCAGATTTCCAAATGAGCTAATATTTGGAGAGAACCTCACGCAATAAATTGTCTATCTTAGGAAAAAAAATTGGAATTTTGTGTATTTTTGTAGTATTGTTTTCGATTTTTTTTTTGATCGGGTGCAGATGAGCCTGGACACCGAATCGCTGCACTCGCAATGTAGCGATTTCTAAAGGTTATTTTTTTCAGGAATCAATAGAGCTGCTAAATGTTAGATGCCACATCCATACATCAACGGACGAGCACTTCTTGATCGACTGTTTCTCTTTGCTTGCATACAACTCCCCGTCTCTCTCTCCTTAGCTTGCTCAAATAGATTAGAGAGTGATGTATCTCTCCGGTGAGGCCACGTCTTCCATTTTTTCCCCAAATGGGCCAAACTACTACTTGTGTTTTTCTCTCCACGAAGAAAGAAGATGTGCGTATGTTCGGGTGTTGTGACAATTTGTTTTTCTCTTCTCCTATCCTACAAGTTTAGAAGGGAAGTGGTGTATAACATATACTAAGGTTTCATGGCTCCGGCGAGTGGTGGTGGTTGCAGAGACAACTGATAAGGAGTGGGTAGAAGGACGAGGCATCGTGCTAGGAAGCGCAATGAATCAACTCCTACCGGGTCTTTGGCGAGTCAGATTCGTTGTCATTGAGCCTGAATCGACAAAGAACGCTTTTCTCAAATACTACCTCCGTTTCAGTTTATAAGTCCTACGCGTGTATCTAGGTTGTTAATTTTATCATCCTAATATAAACTATATAACACAAAAATTATACCTTTTGAAAGTAGAAACTCCGAAGTTTATGTTGGTATATTTTTTGTAATATATGACTTGTATTAGATTGGTCAAATTGACGACCTAGGGGTACGCGCACGCCCTGTAAACTGAGAGAGAGGTAGTAGTGAAGTTTTTATGTTGCCTCCCTTGAGTGTTTGAACATGTTGTGAGCATGTAATGTGTTTGTTGTCTAAAGATGAGACATATTGCATTGATTCTCAAGGAAATTAAAGCTTACATGCACTTGTGAGAAAGCTCGACGGACAAGCGCTGATTAATACGTACAACTTTCCCCAAGGTTAGTTAGCAGCGTGAAGATCAATTTTTAACCTTTTATTTGCAACGAATGTAGATGTGTTGCATAACCATAATATTCTGGTTCGGCGGCGTGGTGACGACCGGCGCACGGCAGCACGTCGTCGTCGCCCGCGTCCACCAGACCCACCTGAGCTCCGAAGCAGCCGCAGCCCCTTTGAATTGAATTGAAAAAGATAGAAGAAAGAAAGCAGCCGGGCGCGCGCAGCAACCTGGTCAACGACCATGATCCACCACCTCACCTCACCTGACCTCACAGCGACGAAGATGCTGAGGCAGCTCCTCCTCCTCTTCTTCCCCTATTTATAGGGCGCTCGTGCGCGTCACTAATTTCAACGGCAGCCGTCGTGTTCCTCTTGCGTCCAGAAAGACAAGCTCAAGCTCTCTAGAAGTAGCGCCAACAACACCAGACCTTTTCTGTGCCTGGCCCTCTTCCTCCTCCTGGTTCTTGGTCTGACGGTCGTCTTCTTGTTCCCACCAGCGATCATGTCTTCCTCTTCCTCGTCCGTCTCGTTCCAGACTCCGAGGAAGGTGGTGAAGAAGGTGCTCTCGTTGTCCCAGTCCGAGGGGGACGGCGCCACCGTCCGCCGGAGCATCGGCCGGTATGACACCAATCCCTCTCTCAACCGCGCAAGACGGATGAATCAACTCTGAATTTCTGATGGGTCGACCTCTGTTTGTCTTTTCTTGATGCTGCTGCTGCTGCAGGCACGAGGTCCCGAACCTGGACCCGTTCCTCCTGCTGGACGAGTTCTCCGTCTCCAAGCCCGCCGGCTTCCCCGACCACCCCCACTGGGGCTTCAAGACCGTCACCTACATGCTCGACGTACGCATCCCAGCATGCTCTGCTTCTTCCATCTCGTGCTCTGTTCCCTTCTGCCTGCACCATGTTGATGTTGCCTGCAAGGTGTTTGCTGAAATGCTTGCTTCTGTTTTGTGTTTCTGACGATGCAGGGAGCATTTACCCACCAGGACTTCTCGGGGCGCAAGGGCACCATCAGGACCGGAGATGTGCAGGTCTGACCTACTCATCCAATTTCTTCACACAAACCGACGCATGCACTTGGCCCATTCATTCTATCTTTGACTTGAACTAACATTTGCGATCCGAATGCTCGGTTCCTGACCAGTGGATGACGGCTGGCCGCGGCATCGTGCACTCGGAGATGCCGGCATCTGACGGCGTGCAGAAGGGCCTGCAGCTCTGGATCAACCTCGCCTCCAAGGACAAGATGTATGTATCTACTATCTATAAAAACATCATATGAATCATATGATGTCAACGTCTTTACATTACAATGACCAATCACTCGAAACTAATTGCTCGAACAATGCTAGGATCAAGCCGCGGTACCAGGAGCTCGAGAGCAAGGACATCAGTGTGTGCTCGGCACTGGCGATGGGCTCAGTGTGTGGAACCGGTCCGGTGCGCGGCTGCGGTTCATGCTGGCGGCAGCTCAGCCCTTGAACGAGCTAGTGGTGCAGCAGGGGCCCTTCGTCATGAACTCTCGTGCCCAGATCCAGAAGGCCATGGAGGACTATTACTACGGCCGCAACGGCTTCGAGAAGGCCAGCCAGTGGAGCTCCACTTGAGTCTGATCAGTTTGTCGATGTCATCTTCTATATCTAAATAGCTAGTCCCCATTAACTGTTTTTCTCAACATGCAAGCATGCCACATCATCCCATAGCATGCATGAGAAAAGGCCCACCTTCACTATCATATGTTGAGTAAATAGGCAGTTTTTCGATTAAATTAATCCATGAATAAATCATGAGCATGACATGGACAGCATTGATAACATACTGATTATGATCTAACAGAGCATGTACTACGCATATAGTAGAGACATCTACGCATACCGCTAGTACTGCTACAACAGAAAGAAACACGAGAGGGATAAGCGATGTATACCCTCCAATCGGCCACGCGGTGGCGGTGGCGGTGACAGCAGCCGCGGCATCCTCGGCGGCCTTCTTGTCGGCCTCGGCTTTCTCAGCGGCGGCACGGTCGGTGTCGGTCGACATGGTGATGATGAAGGTGATGCGGACGTAGATGAACAGAAGCGAGCAGTCGCGTAGTCGCTACCCAAAAACCTAATCGCCCCTCTCCCCGTACAGGATCCGGAGAGGCGTGGTTTCGGAGGCCTGCTCTCCCGTCAACCGTGTACGCGGTGAACGGGACGGAGTCGCCGGCGGCAGCAGCAGCAGCGGAACGACGTGGGCGTGGAGGCGGAGATGCGTTCTGTTTCGTGACGGCTAGGGTTGGCAGCGCCCCACATATATATGTGCGGCCGCGCGTGGAGAGACGTGGGCTGAACCCACGTCCAAGTCGGTAGCCCACGATCCGACGTCTCAGATCGTGGCCCCACCTGTCAAAGACTCTCCGTTCCTGACCGGCAAAAAGAAGCGCATGGGAGTGAGCTCGGCTCGGCTCAATCCCGCAACCCGCGGCGCGTCGTGACGAGGCGTGGCGTGGCGAGGCGAGCGGAGGAGGAGGAGTGCGCGAGGGCCTCATCTCTTCTCAAGCTCCAATAGCATGAGGGAGAGAGTCCCTTATAAACCACTCCAACTCTCCTTCCACTTCCAAGGTGGGACTAAACTTCCCACACACCTAGTGCCATATAACCCACATGGGCCCTTAGAGATTTTTCAGAAATTGCAATATGGGCCTAGAGCCCATCTCAGATTTCAGCAATCCCCCACCAGATCTCGAGGGCCCATAGTGTCCTCTGTTCCAAATACTGTTTTGATATACTAGTGTTTCAGTGAAGACCTGTTAAGGTTGAGCTTCACCTAGAGCAAGTAGCTACATTCCTTCACAACTGAACAATGGACTATGCCTTGAATTGTCAGTTTGGCGTAAAGAAGTTTCACCACATGTCTTACTAGTACTGGGCTGCCGAAGGCTGACCCCTCGGGTGGAGCATATAAGTCACACTCCTCGCCTATTCATGAGTTTACTAGAGATCACCCCAATCTCATAGACTGTGACTAGCAGTCGGGCTCACATAGGTGTGTTCCTCCAAAGATCACTCTGTAGGATAGCATCTTGCTTATACATATAAGCCTTGGAACACATTAAGACAATAGTCATCCTTCCGTACAGTTTCCGAGAGTATTGCATCTCCAACGGAGTGGGTTAGTAAAGTTACTCTCCTCAGTTCACCACTGGCTTGTTTCCCCAGGTCCTACTTCACGGGATCTCCGATCACATAGGTTGGGTTACCACCATGGTAACTCATGTGGGTCTCATACCCATCTCCCTCGATGCACTATCTATCACTACACGTGATAGCCCTTTCGTAAAGGGATCTGCCAGATTCTTAGCCGTATGGACATAGTCCAACGCTATCACTCCGGAGTTTCTTAATTTTCTGACAGCTTTTAATCTCATTCTTATGTGTTTGGTGGACTTCATGTTGTCCTTTGAACTCTTCACCTTGGTGATGACAGTCTGATTGTCACAGTTCATAAGGATAGCCGGAACCGGTTTATCAACCAATGGCAAGTCCATCAAAAGATCTCGAAGCCATCTCGCTTCAACACTAGATGTGTCTAATGCCGTTAATTCTGCTTCCATTGTCGATCTCGTTAAGATCGTTTGCTTGCAAGACTTCCAGGAAACAGCGCCACCTCCAAGAGTAAACATATACCCAGTTGTGGCCTTCATCTCATCAGCATCAGAGATCCAATTTGCATCACTATACCCTTCAAGTACCGACGGGTATCCGGTATAGTGAAGTCCATAGTTCATAGTACCTTTCAGATAGCGCATAACTCTTTCTACAGCATGCCAATGTACATCACCCGGTTTGGAAACAAACCGGCTCAGTTTGCTCACAGCAAACGCGATGTCAGGCCTCGTTGCGCTTGCTAGGTACATCAGTGAACCAATGATTTGAGAGTATCTCAATTGATCTTTAGCCATGCCTTTGGACTTTCGAATCAACACGCTAGGATCATATGGTGTTTGAGATGGTGTGCAGTCCGAATATCCAAAGCGACTCAACACCTTCTCAACATAATGGGATTGCAGAAGTGTGATCCCACCCTCATTATCTCTCAGTAGCTTGATATTCAAGATAACATCAGCCACACCAAGATCCTTCATCTCAAAGTTCTGAGACAGAAAGGACTTAACCTCCTCAATGACTTTGAGGTTGGTTCCGAATATCAGTATGTCATCAACATACAAGCACAGTATAACTCCTTCGCCCCCACCATGGCGATAGTATACACATTTATCAGCCTCATTAACAACGAAACCAACAGATGTCAGAGTTGTATTAAACTTATCATGCCATTGCTTAGGTGCTTGTTTCAGGCCATATAAAGATTTTATCAACCTACACACCTTTCTTTCCTGACCATCTATCACAAAGCCATCAGGCTGTTGCATGTAGATTTCCTCCTTTAGCTCTCCATTTAGAAAAGCCGTCTTAACATCCATCTGATAGACGAGAAGACCATGTGAGGCCGCCAACGAGAGTAATACTCGAATGGTGGTCAGTCTAGCCACAGGTGAATAAGTATCAAAGAAATCTTCCTCTTCTTGCTGGTCATAGCCCTTGGCCACAAGCCTAGCCTTGTACTTTTCAATCGTACCATCGGGCCTAAGCTTCTTTTTGAACACCCACTTACATCCCAGTGGTTTGCAACCATAGGGACGGTCAGTGATCTCCCATGTCCCGTTAGCCATGATGGAATCCATCTCGCTACGGACCGCATCCTTCCAGTAGTCAGCTTCTGGAGAGGCATACGCTTCTGAAATAGAAGTGGGAGTATCATCCACGAGGTACACGAAGAAATCATCACCAAAGGTCTTTGCAGTCCTTTGTCTCTTGCCCCTACCAAGGGTTTCCTCGTCATCCTCCTCGGGATTTTCATCATGTGTTTGTTCATAATATTCCATAGGGATGGCAGGTTCAGGAGTCTCCTTAGATTCCTGTCTAGAAGTGCTTTGCATATCTCTCGTAGGAAAAATATCCTCAAAGAATGTAGCATCCTTAGACTCCATAATTGTACCGATCTTCTGGTCAGGTACCTCAGATTTCACTACTAGAAATCTATAGCCAACGCTGTTCTTAGCGTAGCCCAAATTAATGCAGTCCACGGTCTTATGTCCAAGCTTACGCTTTTTGGGGATCGGCACGTTGACTTTCGCCAAACAGCCCCAAGTGCGCAAGTACGAGAGTGTCGTCCTTCTCTTTGCCCATTTCTCATAGGGAGTGATCTCACTATCCTTTGTCGGAACTTTATTCAGGACATGACATGCCGTCAATATAGCCTCCCCCCACCATGCCTTGGATAAACCCGATGTATCTAACATGGCGTTAACCAAATCAGTTAGAGTACGGTTTTTCCGCTCGGCAACCCCGTTTGACTGGGGTGAATAGGGAGGCGTCCTCTCATGAATAATGACGTGTTCCGCACAGAAGGAATCAAACTCACTCGAGAAGTACTCTCCACCACGATCTGACCGGACTCGTTTAATTTTCTTTTCAAGTTGATTTTCAACTTCTGCCTTATAGATTTTAAAGTAGTGTAGAGCCTCATCTTTAGTATTTAACAGATACACATAGCAATATCTAGTGGAATCATCTATCAATGTCATGAAGTATCTCTTTCCACCTTTAGTCAACACACCATTCATCTCGCAAAGATCAGAATGTATGAGTTCTAATGGTGCCAGGTGTCTCTCCTCCGCGGCCTTATGAGGCTTGCGAGGTTGCTTAGCTTGCACACATGAAAGGCACTTAGAACCTTTGGCTAAAGTGAAACTCGGGATTAAATCCAACTTGGCTAGCCGCGTCATAACACCAAAACTAATGTGACAAAGACGTGAATGCCAAACTTCAGATTCATTAACATTCGAATGAATATGGTTCACGACTTTATTACAAAAATCTGCGAGGGAAAGGCGGAACATCCCTCCGCTCTCATAACCTTTTCCAACAAATAGTCCATACTTAGTAACAACTAATTTATTAGACTCGAATACCAACTTAAACCCTTCTCTACATAGAAGGGAGCCACTAACGAGGTTCTTCTTGATGGCGGGGACATGCTGCACGTTCTTCAGCTGCACGATCCTTCCCGAAGTAAACTTCAGATCGACCGTGCCAACACCATGAACAGAAGCACTCGCGCCATTCCCCATCAATACGGACCCGTGGCCTGTGACCTGGTAAGAAGAGAACAATGAAATGTCAGCACACACATGAATACCTGCACCTGTATCCACCCACCAATCGGTAGGCTGAAACACTGAAAAAACAGTAAATAAATTACCGTACCCAGATGCACCATTCTCATTGTTGCTCACAATCATGTTGACAGACTTGGAGTCCTGTCCTGGCTTCTTAAACTTGTTTGGGCACTTGTTGGCCCAATGTTCAGCCGAACCACAAGTAAAGCAGCCCTCATCCTTCTTGTTCTTTTTGAAGGTCTTCTTACCCTTCTTCTTAAAGTCGGCAGTCTGTTGGACACCGTTCTTTCCCCTGGGCTTGTGGGAATTGGAGTTCTTCTGATGCACCATATTGGCCACAGAAGTTCCTTCGACCCCTTTTCCGTGCGAGTCCTTTGCCCTTGA